ATCGAGGATGCCACCACGGCCTCACGGGATCCGACATTCTTCTCGTTCAGCCAGTAAAAGGCATCGGCACCAGTCTCGACTTTGCCGATGGCTGCCCAACCGAGATAGAGACCCGCGAAGAAGATGACGCCCAAAGTGTGTGCCCCAACGCCCTGCCCGTTTCAGTCGTGTCAGTGTATGTTTCTTGCCTCAGGTACAAGGCAACTCACAAAGGGGCGCTTGATGCTGTTGAGCCAGAAGATCTCAATGAGAGAGACGACAGATGTGATTCCAAAGAGGTTGATGATGACAAAGGCCTTGTACCAGCCCTTCCCGAATATCTCCGTGACTGACGTTGTGGTGTTAGACCAAGTTAACATCAATTAGACGTCATGACTTACAAGGTTCATGTGGCCCATTCTTGTGTGATTCTTCCAAGCTGGTCCATTCGGATGCAAATGAATCCCCAATCATGTTGGCCATGGCGGAGCTCCCGGATGGCTGAGGCTTGGGGGGCTCTCCCGTGTTCTTGTCGTCGTGCTCTAAGGTGACGAACCAGTAGATGACTGAGTTCATGAAGGTGAAAACAGTTGTAATGGTGTAGAACAAGGTGAAGTAGAACTGCTTGCGAAGACTTGCGATGCCGTAAGGCAGCGACAGGGTTCTCAATGCCCAGTACTCCCAGCCAGTGCTGGTCTCCTCGATGTGTGGGTGATAGAGATGAGTATAGGTCCAGCCCTAGGATTGGTGATCGAGGTCAGCAACAAGCCACCACTGGTACTACCTATGCTTTGAGTTGACATACCAGCACGACCGCATGGTAGGCCAGGAGCAGAGAAAAGGTGACGACAGAGAAGTCAAAGACCACTCGCCAGTCAGAGTAGGGAGACTCTTCTTTTCGCAGCTTGTAGTCAAGAACCGTAGCTCCGACTGCGGTCAGGTAGGCAACGATACCACCTCGAACCCAGCACAGATGGTTCTGGGAGAAGGACCGCCAGGGTGAATGGCATGCTCTGAGAAATGCAGGCTAAGAAAGAAAGATTAGCTGAAGCTATGAAGACGCCTGGCGATCGACAACGGAGCGTACATGGTCCTGAACCTGGCCATAGGATGCCGGCGTGGGCAGACCATGTCCATCATGGAACTCTGATTGCCCGTGGAGTAACGGAGTGGTGACAGAGGCGTCCATCACGATGGCTTCTAACGGAGGCTAAGCAGGATATTGAAGAGAGGTTGTCTAAGTGTGGAATCTGAGAGAGATGATGCTTCGGGCGTCCCGTCAAGGCTTGGTATACAGAAGACGGTTGACGGCTTGTTGGAAAACACCAGGCAAAGATATCGAAGAAAAGACTGAGAGAGGGATGTTAAGTCGAGGAACGGGAGATGCGATGGGAGAACGTAGGACAGAGACATATGGAAGATTTCAGAAGGGAGCTGCTGCCTTCCACCTGTTGGTGAAGCTGAGACTGCCGTTGTTGACTATGAGTATCCAGAGAAGGAAGTTATGTCGGACATATGTGCCTGCCCTGTCTCTTCATCCACGCTGGCGGAAGGAAGTGGCCTGTGAAGTCCAAATTGAGGTTTTGGAAGGCAGGTAACGGGCAGCATCGGCTGTCAATCAGGAAGGAAGTCGTCGGGCGTGCCACTTGTAGTGAATTCCAAGAAAGCCATTGAGAACAGGCAAAGAGGGAAGTGCTGTGACTTCATGATATTGGAAAATCTACGATGGCTTCTAGCGAGTTCTTATAGTTTACGTGAATTCCACACATACTAAGCCCAAGGTGAATGAGAGGATCAAGTGTTTGACTTGTAGCATATTCCTGCAAGAGGACTGGTGTCCAATACCTGTGGAAATGTATTGAAGTCAATTGATGCTTAAGCTGTAGGAATGCTTCATGTACCATGATTTCCGTGGTTCTACCTATGAAGACGGTGCAGCTTGCAGCTTGTAGATGTTAGATGAGGCAGGATCACTGGACCAGAGCGCTCCAAACTGAAGGAGAACAAACGGTGGTCTGTGCACCACAGCCGTCTGAAACCGACCGGAGGTGAGAACCGATAAGATAACCAGAGTACGTACCTCTTTATCTCCATTGACACGTTCCACGTCTGCAAAATAGCTGGCCTGTGCTCTTGCTCTTGCTTCCAGCTTCAAGGAAGGTGCGTTGCTGGCCAGAACTCAACTCCAAACTGAACATCACGATCCGAGACCGTCTACCACCACCGACGAGACTACCAGCAACACCGCTCGCACCCGCTTGTCAGAACCGCCGGAAAACATGTTGTCGAGTCTTGGAAACCCGCGCCAGGCGGCTTCGCAGCTGCTCAACTTTGCGCTGATCCTCTCAACTGCCTTCATGGTGTGCACAGCGGCCCTCCCCAAAGAAGCTCTTGCTAACCCCAGTGGCAGATGTGGAAGGGTCTTTCCGTGATTTCCGATTCTCCCAGCCCGATCGTCGTTGTTCTTAGTGGTTCCATGGAGCCTGCCTTTCAAAGAGGCGATCTCCTTTTCCTGTGGAACCGCAACCTGATCCAGGAAACCGACGTTGGCGAGATCGTTGTCTACGAAGTCAAGGGCAAGAACATTCCCATTGTCCACAGAGTGGTTCGCAGATTCGGCTCTGGGTAAGCTCCTCCTACACTTTGTCTCCCATTGCCCTCCTTGCTGACCAAGAGGCTCGTTGTAGACCGGAAGCGAAGCTCCTTACCAAGGGCGACAACAACAACTCCGATGACACTGGTTCGTGGCTCCCCCTCTCAGAGTTCTCAGTGAGTAAAGACTGACCAAAAGCAGAGCTGTATGCCAAGGACCAGGACTACCTTGTGCGCAAGGATATCATCGGCAGCGTCGTCGCATACATCCCCTTCGTCGGCTACGTTACGATCCTCCTTTCAGAATACCCGTGGTTGAAGACGGCAATGCTGGGAATAATGGGCTTGGTAGTGGTGCTGCAGAGAGAGTAGTCCCGTCGTTATGGCAAAAAATTGATACCTCCATTCGAAACCAGCTAGGAGCCATCGAGCGCCACAATTGCCAGAGTCGCTGCAGAGACCTCAATGCTCGAGGAAACAGCACGTTCGCGGTTTTCGATTTTCGAGTAGCCGTAACGGCAATGCTCAGATTGATTGATTTCGGTGACTGAGTGCTAGCCTCGGTCTCGTGCCTTATACTTGGTGGGGCATGTACCAGCCATCGCCGCGCTTCCGTGAACTGAGACAGACCTCAGGAGAAATTACCTTGGTACAGCTGACAATCAACGCTGAGGTTTACAGAGAAGAGAGAATCATATTGCCAGATCTCTGGGTGGAAACGAGTCCAGCGCAGCAACTACCGAGGTCCAGGCGTTAGACCCGATATTGTCCCTCTTTCTTTCAGGTATCGTCGTTCTCTCGATCCCGTGATCGTAGTGCATCTTCAGCTCTCGTGGCATGAACTGGGGTGTTTCTTTGTGTCCAGGCAGCCAGCGGCACAGCTGACAGGGTTCTGCTTAAGGCCCATATGAGCCAAAATTGTGGTCCAATAGCAAGACCCTGATCTCCGCCGCCGACTGGTTCTAGCCAGGGGCGCCGTCCTTTTTGGGACGCGATTGTTACCGCGCCGGTGCCTGTATCATGCACCAAACCGTTAGAAGAGCGGCACAGTCGTGCGATAAAATGAGCCAAAAATTCCCTGTGCCGAAAATTTGAACCAACGTCTGTGTCTCTTGCTCCTTTTCGGTTCGTGTTGAAAGCGTCACAAGTTTCCTCGTCGCTCATTTTGCGGTTCAGACCACACCAGCACCGTGGACCACCGTATTGTAAAGTTGCTGTCGAGTTGTGTAAGACGCTCATTAAGCCACTCAATTCATCATGGCTTCAGCCCAGTATGCACCACAGTCGCAGTACGCACCGCCTGATGGCTTCGAAGGCTACGTGCCATACGCGCAACAAGCTCCTCGAGAAATCCCTTTCAGCCCAAAATGGCACCGAGCAAAAATTGTCATTCGCAGTTTCAATATAGCGTTCAGCGCCATCGTCCTCGGCATCTCGCTCTCTCTCATGTTTTACTCATTTTCAAGTTCATTCTATCTTGTATTCAGTGGATTCCCCGTAAGTAATATGCTCCTAACTTTGCGATTAAGACTGGATATCTAACCCGCTTGTAGGCTGCTGCCCTTGTGTGTTGGGAAACATCCGAACTCATCACCATCTGCGCAAGAGGCGGGAGACGGGGAATACACCCCGGTGCTCACGTTGGCATGCACTTGCTCTTTTGGCTCGTTTTTATGGTAGCCACGGGATGGGAGATTGCAAACATCGTCCTTCGTGATGGTCCGCGGTCGTGGGTGTTAAGTGGTGGGCAGGTCACCTCTATGCAAGATACTGTAATGGCGTTCACTGCCCTCTTATTGTAAGTTCTAGTCATGAGTGTTTTGAAATACCTCAGGATGATCGCTAACACTTGATAGTATCGACAATTTCACCCTCTTCGTCCGCGCCTGTATTGAATGCAAGCAGCGCAATGCTCGCCCTCCCCCGGTTTACATGGTGCCCATCAACGGGCCGCCGCCGATGCAGCCTGCAGGTTCATACCAGCCCTACCCTTACTCGCCGCAGCAATCTTCTTTTCAACCGCAGCATGACAAAGGACAGATGACAGGAGCCAATGTTGATACCACTGAAAGGGCTTCCGAGCCAGGCCTGGATGGGACGTACTACGGCCCCGGAAGCCGAGCTTGATTGAGCGCTGTTGGACGAGAGCCAAGGAGGATCTTGGATACTTTGTTATGAAAAGCGGATGATACCCCAATATTGCAATCAGAGGACTGGATTTCATCGAAGAATGGAGTGCGATATTCGTGCCGCTGGACCATGCCATGCTGGACTTAATTAAATAATCTATAATCACAACCTCGGTTGTCTATGACCATTGCGTCTTTAAAGATGTGCATTGTACCCGTTTTGAGCACCGATGTTGTCATGAATACATTTTTCGTATTAATGTTTAGGCTAGGAGGGTATTGAGCTATCCTGCCCAACGCTCACTCAGACCACTGCACATCGAAATCCTTGAACTGAACCTCAAGATCGCTCTTCGCATCCTTGGCAGGCCGAGCAACCAGAGCGCCAACAGTCAGGTTCCAATCCTTGCCAGTACAATCATCATCTCCAAAGACCCAGCAAATCTCACGCAGCGGTACCTTGGTACCGTCCTGCTTCACGTAGTACACCCAGAAGCTCGGGCCCATGAAGTCGCGCTCTTGCTCGATGAGCACAGTGATGCTCTTGGTGTCCTCAAAGGCGGCGAGAGGCGTGATGCTCCAGTCGGCCCAACGGTCGCAGGCGACGGTGCTGAGCTGTGGCGTGCCTTGGTAATACTCGAGGCCGGTCTTGATCCATCTCTTCTCGCGGCCAGAGTTGGAGTCGAAAGTGACGATGAGACCTGCTTGGTCGTACTGTTCGGTCCAGTCTGCGGTAAATGTGATTTTGGCGGACTTAAACTGGCTTAAGGGCTTGGCTGGAACCGTCTTTGTGGGAGCTGGGTCTGTTAACTTGTGGCTTATGTGAGGAGGAGTGAGTCGAGGTTACCATCGTAGACGTTGTGGGCAGGCGGCTTCTTCCATACGTCTGTATTGGGGGCCGCGGAAAGGGTAAAGGAAGACATATTTGAGTAGAGCAGGGTATCTCGATTGTGTTGTACGCGCCAAGAATAAAGAGAGTCAATGTGTATAAACTGCGCGGATCTACTGAAGCCGAGGAAATGGGACAGAGAATAGTGATGGGTGATTGGAAGTTTAAATAGGCTTGACTGAGAGTAGCATTGCGGCTGTTTCTGCACCAGACTCTGCAATGCAGATGGTGTGAGAGTTACCAAGTAAGCTACTTGGTGACTTCACGCACTTGCCCCGCAGTAAGCAACACGAAGTATTCATGCTTGTAGGTTGTTTGCCGATCCAAGGTGTCATGCAGGGTCTCTTCGCCTTGAATGATTGAGACGGTGCAATGGGCCGACAACCCGCCCATACCGAAACCGATTTCACAGTACCTACTTACAGCGCGATTGGGTTTCCGGGCTTTTGAAGAAGGACTAGTAACACGAAGAAATATGGCTAGGAGTATCATTTTGTAGCGCTATAGACCTGAACTGGAAGCCAAGTGAACCTTGATCCCTACTTAGGATGCTTATGAATCCAAAGAGGCCTCATGATCAGGACAAGTGTCGATGGATTGTTCGCTTGAACCTCTGTGTCGCTGATAAAGTTGCCCCGCGATCCCCTCAGGACGCGGGGCAAAGCAGAAGTGACTCGGCCCGCAGGTGGGAGAGCTTGAATGATTGGCTGGCACCGGTTCCCAGCGGAGTCTCCGCCGATATGTATTGTGTTTGTACCTGCTGAGAATACTACCCAGTTCGGAAGTAGTTCCAATAAGGAAAGTTCAACTGATCATGTCCTTCAATTCGATGAACGATAAGCAATGTTCTGTGAGAGGAATGATAAACGTCAACGGCCACACTAACAAGGCGGTATCGATGTGATGTGGCTGTAGATACGTTCAGTGTGCTGTTGAAATAGTTGTGAAGACGGACGCAGATTCGAACCAGCAGCTCTGGGAAAAGCACGGAGAAGTGGATATTCCCTCTTATGGAACACATCGGAGATTGACTCAGCAAATGCCTACATCCCCCCACTGATTGCGCACCTGCCTTTCATTTCACAAACGTGCACCTTCCCCCGCTCGACCATCTCGTCGCCAACCCCACAAACTTTCCCATTCTTCACCTCATTCCGCCGACGACCAGTATCCCTCTGCAGACAATCCATAGTAGACTCCATCTTCAATTCACTTACACTCTATTCGCCCATCGTATTACTACTGCCCACATCACCGAACGCGTCGACAACTTCGCACCAAGCCACGCCTGCAAACACCATTGCATTTATCCAAGTCGTCTGAGGTGCGAAGGCGAAGCAGACTGGCAACCTCTGTAGCCTGGTGTTGGAGGAAAGGGGACGTCCACGAGGCCATTCGCAACTTCACAATCCACATCTCCCACACGCCCATGGTGCAAATAAATCCTCTTCCCCCGACAAAATTCTCCTAGGCCTCCCGATATCCTAGCGAAATATTTCCGCCTTCGCAAGGCGCCAACGTCGAAACAATGTCTTCCTTCCTTACGCCTACCAAGAAGTCCCAAAAGCCGGCAGCCAAGTCAAAGCCTTTTCAACCACCGAACCGCATTCGAGCCATCCGCGAGCAAGCCGAACGCCAGCAAGCTAGCGCCGCCGCCGCCGCAGCCAACGCCGCCGCCCAGGCACAACAGAACCGAGCAAGACCCCCTACTGTCGCCATATCGAACCGTCCACAATGTCCGAATAAGGCCTGTGTCAAGCCCAATGTCGTCGACGGTATCTGTCAAACCTGCGGTCGTGTCGCCGATGACAGCAACATTGTCGCCGAAGTACAGTTTGGCGAGACCTCTTCCGGTGCCGCCATGGTACAGGGAAGCTATATCGCCGCTGACCAAGCTGGCGTAAGGAGCATGGGTCCCGCCTTCCGCCGCGTCGGAGGCTCCGACGACAGAGAAAAGACCATCCGCGAGGCTCGCGCTCTGATGCAGGGTTACGCTCAGCGCCTCAATCTCAGCGATAACACTGTCAACACCGCCGTCCAGTGTTTCAAGCTTGCCTCCCAGTCAGGTTTCACGCAGGGCCGAAAGATCATCACCGTTGCAGCTGTCTGCCTCTACGCTGCTTGCAGAATGGAGAGGCCGTGTCGTGTCATGCTCATCGATATTGGCGACATTATCCAGGTCAACGTGTTTGTACTAGGAAGAACCTTCAAGGCGTTGACCAAAACCCTCTGCCTCTTCCCAAGCGGAGAGTCCCCGGTCTTCCCGGAAGACATCATCTACCGCTTCGCCTCCAAGCTCGAATTCAAGCATATGACTAACCGCGTCGCCGAGGATGCTGTCCGCCTTGTCCGTCGCATGAAACAAGATTGGATCGTCATGGGCCGTCGTCCGTCCGGAATCTGTGGAGCATGTCTTCTGATGGCTGCCCGAATGCACAATTTCCGGCGAACTGTTCGTGAAGTTGTCTACATTGTCAAGGTCACAAACCACACCATTCAGGAACGTCTCGAGGAGTTCAATGTGACGGAGACAAGTAAAATGACAGTGGAAGATTTCTTGTCTCAAGATTTCGGCTCCAGCTCTCACGACCCCCCGTCCTTCTACAGGAACACCGAGGCTTGGCAAGCGCAGCAGGAAGAGCTTGGCAAGAAGCGGAAGCGAACCATTACAGACGACGGTGATAACAACAGGACGACACCTGCGCCTTCTCTGCCACCGCCTGATCTATCTGCAGCGCCAACCATTGAGTATCGTCGAGATAAGGACGGCTACATTATCCCCCCTCTCCCGTCGAAAATCGCCGTCAACGAGCCGGCCCTAAGAGATGCTAACAGCACCCAACATCTTGAGGGCCTGGCTCAAGAATTTGGCGACGCGGAGAAGGAAAACGAAGAGTCATCACAGACGGATGCTGGTAGTGAAAAGACGCGGCAGCCGAAGCCCTCTTTGCCGATCAACGACGAGTGGGAGGAAGACGAGGCCGAGATGGAAGACCAGATCTCGGAAATCATGAATGATCCCGAGACCTACGAGCACGCAAAAGCTTTCAGCAACGCTGAGCAACGAGCTCGCATCCACTCGATCTGGGCCCTCCAGCAACAACCAGACAAGTCTGTCTCAATGGCGCCCGAGGTTGGCGAAGACGAGTTCGCCGATGACCCTGAAGTTGCGAATTGCATGTTGACTCCTGATGAGATCAAGATCAAGGAACTTCTGTGGGTCAATGAAAACAAAGACTGGTTGCGCGCATCACAGGAGCGTCTGTTCCGCAAAAAGCTGGAGGAAAAGAAGCCTAAGAAGGATCGCAAGCGGAAGAAGCGTCCTCGTATTGGCGAAGGCCAGACGACACCTGCCAGCACACCAGGCGAGGCTGCTGTTAATGTCATGAAGGAGCGTGGTTTTTCGAAGCGCATCAACTACGAGGCTATCCGGCAGATGTTCGACGTCGCTGGTCAAGGTGACCCTGGCTCCAGGCCTGAGAGTGAAGCTGCGAGTCGTCCCACGAGCAAGGCGCCCAGTGTGGTGGACGACCACTACGATGAAGAAGAAGAAGAAATCGAGCCCATCGATGGCGACGGGGGCCATGAGCACCAAGACGACGAGTATGGCGGTGGGGATGACTACGATGACATGGGCGACGAATCCCACATGTACGATGAGGACGATCAGGGGATGGGTGAAGACGATGACGACGACGATTTTGGTCTCAATGACGACGATGAGTGAGCATACTCAGTCGCGCAATGTCTTGTCTTTTGGGGATTGGGCGAATCGTGGAGGATGGCGTGCTTGTATTAGATACCCCAAGAGCTTCGAACATGTCGAGGCCCCGGCTGCGCTGCCCACACACATGATTTTGCGTCTTATGGATAGAGCATCTTAGACCAGAACAGCAATCTGCATAGACTTTTGGCAGGATTTGTCGACCCGGCTGGCGCGTTTGTGGTATTCAATGCCACCGGCATGTTCACTGTTAGCTGTGATGGTTTGAAAGCTATCCCGCTTCCGCACTTGCAACCAAACGCCCTTTCGGACGACCCCCGACATCCATATCGTTGATAAATCACAAAAGCTGCCATTCCAACGAGTACAGGCTTGACGATTACGGACGCACGTCCTGATTCCTTCACCTGCCTTGCCGGCTGTCATCGAGTTCCGGCACACTGCGCCGTACTTCAAGACCCACCCTGCTCCGGCCGGACATTGAAACAGCCTTTAAGCATCCGCCATCCTCTACCCCTCATGCCTGCTTCACCCGGGCTTCAAACTTACACCGCAGACGCTAGAGGCTATCGCTAAAGCATCAATGGCTCCTGGCTCACGCATCGCCGACGGGAAGGCCGGAGAAGCCCTTACTCCGCGCGCACAAGGCTCCTTGGGTAGTCGGGCGTTTTCGGCTTTCATCGGAAAATAAAGGATACGGCCGGGTGGCGCAATGGCAGCGCGTTGCTTTCCGGTGGCAAAGGTTCTGGGTTCGAGTCCCAGCTCGGTCGAGTCGATTTTTGATTTCCGCGCGAGTCATCCATTCTCTTTTGGTACACGATGAGGATCATTTTCAATGAGACTTGAGGAGTCAGGTTGGCCGGACTTACTTGGTCTGGCTGTGAATCAGTCGGTCCTGTGGAGTGAATAGCAACGGTCTCCGAATGGCAGCTGCTTACACACATCCTGACTCAGATGGTCGTGCGGAAGATAGAGGACTATGCGGTAAATAGGCGCATAGGATCTTGGGCTGTGGTTTTGATCTCTGCGTCTTTCTGGGGAGTGGTAACATGATTCGATTCCATTAGTGACTATCTGGTGTCTTTCTTGTCACTTGCTTACCATCAATCTATTGGAGCATGTGTTGACGGCAGGTACCTCGGACCCTTCTCACCAAGTGTGACTGACAGCTCAATGACGCCCCTGCTGTCTCGTTCCCATAACCGGCAGACTCGCTAGAATCAAACTTGGCATTGACACTTGTTTGTCACTTCGAATGAGTCCATCCCCTATGGTGTCTTCTGCCTGCCCGGATGGGCGTTGAGCAACAG